ATCTAGGAGGGATGCCTTATGTGCCTATTCTATGAGCCATATGATAGGATTGTTTAGTCAACAGTAGGATGGCATGTGTAGATTATGCCTAGTTTGGTTACTTAATGCACGGATGTTGCTTGCTTTATGCTATGGGGGTTCTGACCAGCTTCAACTAACTAAGGAGCGGATATGTAGTAGTATCTGCAAGCTAGTTAGGGGGAGGTGGTGGGGAACTCCTAGTGCAGCTGATGGCGGAGGGTAGGTCGGAGAGTGCCCTAAGGAAGCCTAGGGTAAGGTCAGTGAGAAGAGTATCGGAAAAAGAGACTGGGGGAAGTCGAAGCAATTCTTTGGGAAAGTACGGATAGATGTGGAAGGTAGTATGAGCTAGTACTATTGAAAGCAGAGGATCCATATTCGAACCAAGGAGGGCCTAGATGGAATCGGGAAACTTGGAAAGTATATGTAACCCTGACATTCGTATGTTTATTTTTCATAATGGTGGTCACGCGACATGGAGTAGGAGGTTTAGGATCCGGGTCAGGATCGGGCTCGGGGGCAAGATCCGAGCATGTGGATGATGGATTGGGCGAGTTCATTGTGTCCGAGATCACGAGGGTTATCCTTGATGTGATGCCGGTTATTTGCGGGTCAATCAAGGAGAGGATCATTGAGCTGATGGAGGATCACCTCAGGGCGTTCCGGAGTGACATGGTGGCTAGCCAGTCAGGACCACACACACTATCCTTTAAGGACTTCAGAGGGAGTGGTGTGCCAGATTTCCACAGGGCAAAGGACCCTATTGCTACCAAATGATGGATTGTGGACATTGAGTCTGCACAATTAACCAGCTTCTGCCCCGAGGGGTCGAATGTATGATTTGTAGCAGGGTGTTTGAGGGACCAAGCTAGGGATTGGTGGGAGTCGGTTAGCAACTCTCTGGGAGCCTCGACTGTTGAGGCTATGACATGGTCGGATTTCGTGACCTGGTTCAGAGCAGAGTTTACGTCAGCTATAGAACTTCAACAGCTGGCCAGGGAGTTCTTGGATATGAGATAGACTACGGAGACTGTGGTGGAGATCATCGCCAAGTTCTGGGAGAGGGATTTGTTGGTGCCCCAGTATACGGGTGATGAGGACATGAAGAGGACCCGCTACCATGACATGCTACGAGCTGACATCCGGGAGCATGTCGATTTTTCAGCTTGCCCTACCCTGGATTCCATGATTTCCAGGGCTAGGGAGAGGGAGATTGATCTGGAGCACATCCGGAAGAGAAAGGCAGTGGAGGGGCAGACGGCAGGCGCTTCGGGGAAGAAGCCTAAGGGATCCGATGGTAGGCCGAAAGGCCAGTTTGGGCGGGACCGCTGTGGAAAATGCGGTCGGTCACATGATGGAGCTTGTCGCACTGGACCGAGGTCAGGCTGCTATAAGTGCGGCAAGGTTGGGCATTTCGGTAGGGATTGTACTGCCCCTACTCCAGCTATGCAAATGTCAGATCTGATTTGCTTTCATTGCAATCAAAATGGCCATAAAAAGGCCAATTTCCTTAGATTGACAGTAGTAGCGGCAGCGGCGCCGGCTGTGGCGCCGATTCTAGCGACAAGATGGGTTATGGATTGTTGGAAGGCCAAGTTGGAGGCTCCAATGGTTCGGTGCCGAGCATTTCAGCTGACCGCCGAGGAGGCTCGCGCTGCGATGTGGTGACGGGTATGACTTCTTATCCTTATGCTTTTATACTATGTCGCTGTGATTTTGATATATCATGTGCCTTGTCTAGGATCGTTCCATGTGAATGGAATCCCAGTTCAGTTGTTGTTTGATTCGGGTGCCACCCGATCTTTTGTCTCTCTTACGCTTAGCAAGAAGTTTCCGGAGTCTTCGGGCATGTTGGATTGCCCTCTAGAGGTCAAGATTGTGGACGACCGGTCTGTGCGAGCATCGGAGGTCTATTGAGACTATGTTTTGAGGCTGGAAATTTTTTGAAAAATAACGAGGGGTGGGTTTCTGAAAATCGACTCCATGGATGTTTCGGAATTTTTTTGAAAAATAACGAAGGCTGAGTTTCTGAAAATTGACTTCATGGATGTTTCCAAGGTGGTTTCTTTTTGGATATCTAATCCATGTCACCGCCGCTCATGGACATTGTCAATGTATATCCGTCTGATGACCTTCATCAGTTGCCTAGCAGCCCTGTGAAGATCTGAAAGAGCACTGCCACAATTGTCCTTTCCGATTATCCCTCTCATCGTCAATTTGAAACCTTTATCGGTGAGAGTGAAGGATGAGAAAGCACTGGTGGTGAGAAGCAATGGGAAATGGACGCGTGAGGAAAATGAAGAGGAATAGGCAAGTACCACAGATTAGAAAAGAGACCTCCTCAGAAGCTCATGAGGAAATTCCAACTGTATAATAACTATGCTGTGTTGGCTAGGGATGAAAGTGGGTCCAAACCCGGACCGGATGGACCCAGACCCGGAACCGGTTAACGGGATTTTGTAGAATCAGAAACCGGACCGTTGTATAGGAACCGGTTCCGGTTCGGTTCCGGGTAAAGTGGGTCTAGAACCGGAAAACCTGGAAACATCAAAGTGGGTAGGTTGGAACCGGATAAAGTGGGTTTAGAACCAGAAAACCTGGAAAAACCGGAAGTTTTTAGAAATTACTTACTACTTAGTGGGTTGAACTTTGAAAATTTTCATATTGATATCCCGACTTTGGGGGATTGTAACTCATTGAATATGAAACCAAAATTAACAAAATTATAGTCAAAAATCATTTATAAACTCTAAAATACACTCTGGAAAAAACCTCATGTCAATCTGACTTTAAACGAATGTGATATGCATGTGTTAACATTTTCACATAATACAAAGTACAAAAACAACTAGCTGAAAAGTTGAAAATTTTCAGTTTTTATATCCCGACTTCGTAGGACTGTAAATCATTGAATGTTAAACTAAAAATTACAAAATTATAGTCTAAAACGATGTATAAACTTTAAACTACAAGTTAGAAAAATCACATGTCAATCCGACTTCAAACGAATTAGATATGGATGCTTTAAAACTTTCAACGAATACAAAAAAACTGAAAAATTAAAAACTTCCAGCTTTGATATATCGACTTTAGGGGACTGTAAGTCAATGAATATAAAACTAAAAATGGCAAATATATAGTCTAAAATCATGTACAAACTCTAAACTAAATGTTGGAAAAAAAAAACCGTATGTCAATCAGAGTTGAAACGAATGAGATATGCATTTTTTAAACGTTTCACAAAAATCGGTTCCGCTTCAAAAAACCAATTCCGGTTTTTAGATCCGGTTTACCCGGACCCTATGGGCCCAAACCCAAATTACCTGGAACCCGGATAAAGCCAATTTTTGAACCTGGAACCGGAACCGATTCTATATATTTCGGCTCTAACGGTTTCGGTTTCGGTTCGATTCCGGTTCCGGGCCGGTTTTCCGGTTCTAAATCTCATCCCTAGTGTCGGCCATCACTGTAAGGTGCGAAATCAGGGTGCTGACAGTGACAGTGGAAAAGATTCCTCCGCCACACAAATCCAGGATTGTTGAAGTAGCAGTTTCTTGAAGTGGATAGTAATTTTAGGAATGTTTATTTGGTTGGGTTTAGGGTTTAGTTCCAATATTCATTGAAGCTTTTAAGAACCTCCAAACCCAAAAACTCAAAACCTAGAAAATCAAAATCGAAACTGTAAAGCACCTGAGGGCAAATCACATTCCTAGGTGGGTATCGTTGGTAGGTCGTCAACAAAAATAAAGGTTAAACCTTTATCTTTGCTCTTATGAGTAAGTTTGCAGAAAATATGTATTTCATGCTTCAAATATGAAGAATTATATATTTAAATCTGAATCTCTTTCAAAACATCTTCATAATCCTATCATTGTCCTAATTTGCTTCTGATTGTGTTCACTGTTGAAGGATAGAGGTCTTTTTTACTACTCGGTTGAGTTGTGGGTTCGATAATGGTGGTGGGATTTCTCTCTTAACCAAAACATGAACACAACAAAAAAGAAGTGTTTGAGGCTTGATTAACTATGTGTTTTTTTTTTTTGTGTGTGTGTGTGTGAGAGAGAGAGAGAGAGATTTTATTTTTAATTGTTTTTTAATAGTTGTAATAAAAAAATGAAAAATAAAATAATAAGGGGCAAATACATCATTATAAAAAAGTTCATAGGGAAATTTAACTAAACTCGCAAAAAAACAAAACTATTGGACCATACTTGCGAACCAAACCCATTTTGAACCAAAATTACTAGTTTCTGACATATCATAGGGATCATTCTTACAATTTTATCTCTATCTATTACATCAAAGAAATAGCAATCTTATGATTTTGCAACCAACGTATTACGTAAATTTGCCTCTTCTAAACCTATGGTTGACCCAATGGTAAAAATCTTATAAAAAAACGTTTATTTATTTATTTATTTATTTTTTGTATTACTACCAAGCAAAAAAGAATTTTTGAAAAACAAATTTGGAAAAGTTTAATAGATTGACAATTACCTTAAAAGTTTGTCCCGATTCTATTTTCAATCATACGGATGATGAGTAAATTAAATTTGTGTACTAAAAAATAATATAACTAGAGAATTCATGTTTTCTGCACAAAAAAAAAAAAAGTCTGCCTATCATATTCCACTTGTTGGGTGGGATCAAGATTATAAAATCCCATTTCGGGGAATTTGTACAGTTCTTTCGGCGTGATATTTGATTGATATTATCCTGGCGACATAATTGTAGTTTACTCTCATATTTAACGCACTAATTATTTATAAACGAAATCTTCTAAAAAAAAAAAAACACTATTGAAACGTTGATTGTTGCACATGAAAGGACTCGACACGACAAATTTTCTATGGGTATATTGGATGATAACAACATTCACATTTTTGCACAAACAAAAAAAGTAAAAAATGACTCATTGTCCCACATTGTTGTCTTTTAGGATGAAAGAAAATATTATAATTTGGCATAACTAACATCATCTTAATTTTAATTCAATACATGTCAAAGGCATTTACAACATCATGATGGATCAAACTATAAAAACCCGGCCAAAATATATTATACCTATGGTGCCCAAAATAACTATACATCCTTAAGTTCTACCTTCTTGATACATACACAAACACATCCATAGAATCCGTACGTAGAAACACAGCACATGTACATACACACACTAAACACTAAACTCTTTATGTCTGAAGCAGAAATGACCAAATCTGCTTCTTGATGCTTAACTCACAGTTAAAAAGCTTCAAGTTGCTTCAGAATTGGTCATTTCTACTAGATCTTTAAAAACATAGCCTTTTTATTTTAATATTCACCATATTATAATGGTGGTTCATGGTTGATTTATCTACCAAGGTCCTGTCTTCGTTCTTCGTAAGCATAATTTTCCACCTCTACACAACTTCATATTCTCCGATATCTGCCAAAAAAGCGTAACGCTAATCATATTCACTGGCAACAGAACGTTTTAATTGCTAAAACAAAAAAAAATTATATGGTTTTAAACGTAATAGAGGACTACTATATTAAACATCGAAAACGGACTTTTTTTTATGCATGATACCTACAAAACTACAACTACGTACCTGAAAATTCTGCAACTCGATGATTTCTTCCTAAATACAACAAGAAAACAAGTTACAAGAAAGATTCATAACCTTTCTATTACTAGGTAGCTACCATAGAGACAAGAACCGAACTCTCGCTAGTTTCTAATGAACATTTTTTTTTACGATATATACCTGCTTTTTTTGCAACTCTTCTTTGAGGTGTGCGATTTCTGCTTCCAATTCCATCGTATACGCCTGTTAGAATCATTAATACATGAATATGCATAAACATATATAGAAAGATTAAACTACACAAGATAAGAGGACGAATATTCATGAAGTTGACCTGTTTTCGAGCCCTTGATCTTGCAGCAGATTCTCTATTATTAATCATCCTCTTCTGCCTTCTCTCCACCTTTCTCTCCAACGTATCACTCTTTTTCCTTTTATGACCACCACCATAACACGGTGGTGGTGATGGAGATGTATCCAAATTACCATTTTGGTACAAATCCAACGGATAATCAGTCTTTATTGGAAGATCAGTCATTCCATTTATAGAAACTCCATTTTCACGACTACCCATCTGAGCATTATTCACTAAATTTATCGAAGAGCTGGAGCTGAAAGAAGCTACTTTTGGGAGATTCTTCTGTGGGTTTGATAGTTTTGAAGATGTAACACCCTGCAAATTGTCAACTTCATTTCTACTCTCTGAAAAGAATTCTTCTTGATGAAACCCTTGATTCTGAATCATGTTAATTTTGTACCCTTGAGTTTGGTTATTTTCCGAAACTGCCCCTGCCCTCTTCAAGAATTCCTCGAGTGTCATTCCACCGAAAGTTGGTTGTTTTTCTTGTGGTTGAAAATTTGGTTTTTTGACGCAATCCGCATCTTTGAATCCAACATTTTCTTGAACCAAATCTCTCCAAACTTCATCCACTGTTTTCTGGCTAATGGTTCTTGATAAAGTCAAAGATTCTTGCTTTTGTAAACTCACATTTATGTCCAAATCGAAGTTTGATGTCATTGATTGAATCTCTTCAGCAGTCCCGATGTTCTTCAAAAGCTCATCCATGTTCATTGATCCGAAATCCTTCCCAGATCCACCCAATGTGTTTTGTAGTTCATCCAAAGTCAATGCGTATATGGAAGATTGCTTGATCAATGGCGAATTTGTCGTTGGACTACAGTTCTTAGAATTGATAAATGAATTCATTTCACATCATTCAGTGCCTATCGAAATCAAATAAGAAAGTTTTTTTTAATTGTTTCTTGAGATATAACAAATGCAAAATTCGTGAAATAGATTTAAATGCAGGCATGAGGGTATTGCAGTAAACTTTGTTGATATCTTTATATTAGATAAAGACTCAAAATCATATCTTCACCTAGCAAAGTGTCATTCAGAGGGTATTTTTTAAAACTCTTTAATGATGCATGGGGATGGAATATTGGATTGTAGTCACATCTACAACCATTTTCAGGGATAAATATTGATAAATATGTACAACTTCGTCTGCATGATGTACAAATCATGGAAGCACAGTGGCATTGGAAAAAAAATTTAACTATCATATACTTTATTCATTAAGCAAAGAAATTAAATATTCTTCTATTTTTTCTTCATATTATTTTTCTCTTCATGTGAAATGATAACAAATGGATTAAATTATTATTAATTTGATTAACGTGTGAATATTTGATATAGTAGCAGGATGAGTAAAAAAATAAAAGGATATTTAATTTCTTTAAGCAGCCAAAAATCCATGTCATTTAATTTCATGTTTCCTCTATCCCATTTAACATTCAAGAAACAATTCTAAATCATTAGATATACATGATTAAAATCACTAAGTTACCTCGAATTTCCAACATAGTCCATGAAAAGTACATAAAACATTCACATACAATAAATCCTAAAAATTTAAAAGAAGCAACACATACACCAAGATCTCAATTTCAATCAAGAATGAGCTAAACATTATCCAGGGACATGATTACCACTAAACTTCCTCTGTAAATCAAAAGTATCATCAACAATAATTATTGCTGTTTCAAAAGAAATTAAAAAATAAAAACAATATTTATAGTAAAAAACCAAAAGAAAATTCAAAGATCCATATCCATGAAAACCCTCAAAGATTTGAGGCGACAAGATCAAATGGTAAATATAAAAGGTAAAAAATTCAAATCTTAATTAGGGAAACCTGTAAGGAACAACAGGTTGAAGGAAAATATCTTGAGGAAATATTAAATTTTTGACGAGACGATTTTACCCTTTTAGAAGGAGATGAGCATTGTGTTGTTTCCTGTCTTCTTATTTGGAGTGGAACTATGGATGAGATGACAAGTGTCTTGTGCTCATTCCACTCTTTCAGTCTCATGCATTTAAAGGATTTGAGGCTCACCTATTCCTTTCTACTTTTAGAGATTTATGGAAAATTTTATTTAACTGGTTAAGGGTATATCTTGATAAACATCCCTTTCAACTTTTAATATTATTGCAAAGTCTATGTTTATAATTAAATATCATTAATATAAATTTTAGTTTATATTTCTATGTAGAAATAAAAAGAAAAATTGAGTAATCTAAACCTTTTTGAAAAAATAACAGCTATAATTATTTTTATTTATTATTATTATTATTATTATTATTATTATTATTATTATTATTGCAAAATAGCCGTTGTTTTCGGAATGGGCCATTTCGGAGTCCATCTTGGACTAAGTAGCTAGGTTGGCCATCAAAGACCTTTCGAAATGCCAATTCCGGACTAATACGACTTATTCCGTATTTCGATTTACAAAACCATTTTCCGGTATTATTCCGACTGATTCCGGATCTCGATTTACAAACTCATTCTGATATATTCCGGACACTGCCCTTGAGATATAGAACACGTTCATGATGACCTGATTATTTTACGGGTAAATCCTTTACTTTTATATTTTAGTAGTTTGATTTTAAGATTTTCTTTTTAATAACTTAGTTCGGAATATGAATAACATCTCCGGAATGCACAAAACACATTCCACAGTAGCAATACATGTTGAAATTACATTAGGACCAATCCAAAAGTAATTTAATTATTTATATTAATGTGTTATACATCATTAATATCCCGAAACAAAAAAATACCATTCCAGAATGCTCCGGAATGTGAGGAACTTGTTCGGAACACGAGGAACATTCTGGCATGCGAAGAACGTGTCCAAATTGGAATGTTCATCACGTTTCGTTTTGGAACAGGATTTAAACTTATAACAACTTTTATATTTGCAACACGATAAGATTTTTTATACATCAATTACAGTGACTTGTAAACATAAACTCGTTTTTGGATGTTCTTGCAACACTCAGAGACAGACCAACATGCGATACTATGTTTCGTAATTTATGTTTTCGGAAGTACTAGTTAGATATTATTGCGATAGATGAGGATCCTTATTTCTACATTATGTGTTTTGTTACGGAGTTATCACGGACCCTCGAAGCAAAGTAGAGGAAATAACTTTTGAGATAAACAATTTAACAAATATTTTGTTTGATAATATTCTAATACATGAATCTTTCATATATGAATTCTTGAGAGTTTTCATATAACCAATTTGTTTGGTACCCGACAACTGAATGTAATCCCACATTGTGTGGTCGAAACTAAAGAAGATGCATGCAAATTAATGTAACCAATTTCTAATCATTAATGACACGTGATTACTTATATAATCTATAATTTTCATATATATATATATATATATATATATATATATATATATATATATATATATATATATATATATAATTTATGTTTATTTATAGTTTTATAATTTTCTTAGCAATGTAATAGACTTATACCAAAGGTAGAGCCTAACAGATGCGATTCGTGTTGAATCGTGAACTATTAGCTTGACGTGGATTGAGCGCTCTAATTTAGCTACCAAAAATGTTCTAGCTCAATTTCCCTAACACCATCACCCTAACACTCGCCTATCTATGAGCCTCGACAAAAGAATGTATAAAGTGATGTTATGAAAGTTTCAGATGCATCTAACCGACCACTACCACCACCACCCCACCGCCACCCACTGCACCATCAACTTATAAGGATTGAATTTACTGACCTAAAAAACGAGGTGTGTGAATGTCAGAAGCAGTTGAGGGGACATGGGATGCATTTTGTAGAACGTGAAGCTATGGTAGTCATGCTTCTAAAATTTAAGAATAAGGTTGTTTGTTCCCAAAATGGGGTGGCGGTACTTTGTTAATTATTTCACTCTCGTATATCTTTTATTTAACTTTATGGTATACCCATTATTTCATCGTTTATAATTAAATACTACTAAACTGTAGATGCACTTAGCATGGATGATGTTGGTACCACAAACTACAATGACTTATAAGGGCGTTATTATGGGTTAGGAATTAACTATCAAATGAAGAACCTAAGCAGCCATATGCATATAATAGTCGTCAGATGTAAAAGAGATTCCCCGGGAGCAATACAAAATGCCTGAAACACCTCTTAGGCGTTGTCAATGCCAAACAATTGTATCCATATGGTATAAGTCCTCATGGATACAAATGAAGAATATAAGTGTTGCACGACAACGACCAACACCATTGAACAATCTTTTGGATCCTTCCATTCACATAATACATAAAAAATGAGATGTTTCATTATTGTTTTCAATTTTGTTTTATCATTGGTATACTGACAATTAAGTTTTGGACACGCTTATATGGGGATAGTCATGCGAGCTGGTTGGAAGATGATGTAACTTATATAATTATGTGATCATTAGGTACTACGCTTCTAATAACAATACTTACTTTATTGTATACATGCCAGGTGTTGATTGGAAACACATGATGTGGATATCATTGTTGATAGAGCATAGAACAGATGATGCTTGGTGGATGTTTGTGCCAACAACTTTCACACTGATGCATTTGACCGGAATGACATGGAGGGATCTGTTTCCCCAACTTGGTCTGATTGTGATACGGTATAAATGTGTTTCAATTACAATACCTACCCAATAGTCATTTATAATATAATGTTCTTTAATAGTTACCTAATTTCAACCTTTTGTAGAGCTTTACATCCCTATCAATATACCGAGTGCTCATTGGTTTTTCAGTGTTTTTGATTCAAGACATTTAAAATGACTATACGATAGTCACTGTTACTTCCACAAACTTGCAGTTTAAAAGAGCGATCATTTTTATGAAAATGCATCTTGGTTAATAACTATGTGAGCCCACATCCACAAACTCTTGCTGGGCATCAAATACTAGGGGTACAAAACCCAATGATTTAATCCCTTCAAATTCATCCTTAAAAATGCAGCAAACGTAACACAACACTATGACAGTGTAAGGGATTGTGATGTGTTTTTTGTTTTGGTTTATAGAGATGATGATCGTAGGGAAATCATATATGATATAGGGTTTAACTGAAGAATGGGTTATATCATATAGCAAATGATTGGCGAAAATATTTTCGGCTACATAGAAAAAACAAGGTCTATTTAAACGTTATACTATTATTTAAAACATATTTAACTTTATGTAATTATTACTTTTGTTAGCACAACTATTTTTTGCAATAAACTAAAAAAAAAAAAAAAAAAAAAAAAAAAAAAAAAAAAACTACTCTAGAACGTTTCTTTGGAATACTATTCCGGTATCCTCGAGGTCGTTCTGGAATGACCTGTTATGGACAACCCAATATTTTCCAAAAAAGTTATAAAAGTTGGTTATTTAAAAAAAACATCCTTTATATGGATTAGATTGTTTAGTTTTTCAAAAAATAGATGTAAAAATAGATGTAACCGTATGTTTCCTTTCACTCACATAAAAAAATCACACATACTCATTCATTGTTTATGTCAAACAAATGAAGGTACATAAGCCAAAAGATCATCTTATATTTAGTTGATAATTAGTATGATAGGTAATAAAACTACAAATTAAATTAACCTTTAATAACTTCAATAAAACAAATAATATTTTTACAACTTGTATGTTAAATTAATATTTTTTTTAATTGTTATCTTTGACTTTATGATGTAGACATTTGTTTTAAATAATTTGTACCGTACTTAGTATCATCCTAAAAATATGTATACACTTGAATAAAGAAAATGACATGAAGGTCGACAAATGATTGCGATGGCGATGGCGATGTCGGCAGATGTATAACAACGAGTAAACGACACTACACCAAATGAATAAATGATCCTCCCATCCGTTTTTTGCATACACACAAATATCTGATTTTAGTGCCAAATAAGATATTTTAAGATTTTTCTAATCTTTAAAGACAAGAACCAAAAGGAATAATCATAAGTGGTGTTTGCCTTCGGTCTACTTTAAGAAATAATGAACCCAGGCACGCTTGAAAAAAAAACAAAAACTAATAAACTAATTAAGGTTTCTCAAAGATTTAAATAAAATTTAGACATATTTTTAAAATAGTCGTCCCACATACAAAATTGGTCTTCTCCAAAATCACCAAAACTGTTATTTATATCATTTTTATAGTTTTTTTTAACGAGCAAATCTAATCTATTCATAATATAATACTTAATTTCATCTATTAATTTCATCTATGTCATTTTCATAGATGAGACACCCAAAACAAATGCCTCATGTATTTTTTCAAGGAAAAGTGTATAAAAACCTTATATTCTTATATGTCTATTTTATTCAATAAAATCAAATAAATCGAAAATTATATTCAATTTGACATTTCATCTAGTTTATAGGTTTTCCAATTTCAAAAAATTACACTTTTTGTCTATATATCAAGTTTTATTACGAATTTGATCCAAAATTTACACTTTTGGTTCAGAATTTCAAAATTTTGTACGATTCCATCCTAAATTTAGTTTCTTACATTATTTTTAAAAAAATTTCAAATATGTTTTGTTTGTTGTATAAATTAATATTTATAAAAAACATATTTTTCACATAAAAAAATTGTTTTTCTATATAAGTTAAAAAAAACATTTTTATATGCAAAATACCTATATTTTTTTTAAAACATTTTTGTTTGGAAAATATGTATTTGTAAAAACGTTATTTAATTCTAAATACCTATTTATCAAAACATAATTGTATGAAAATGCATGAAATACACTTATGTAAAATATGTTATTACACTCATATATATACTTTAAAAACCTTTTATAAAATAGTTATTTATTATTGAGTACGTAAAAGTATATACAAAGATCTATTTCATAGTAAACATATTTGTATATATTTATGTATACAAAATGTTTTTATAAGAACATGTTTTTTATTAAAAAAAAATGAATACAAACACATTTTTATA